CTTAATCGATTTCTCTTTTCATTCTGATCATTTATGTATACATTTGTCTATATCTATCTCGATTCGTTTTGCCTGTTACAAACAACCGTTATGTGAACAAAGTTATAATACCCTTGTGCACAAGTGCGCTCGGGTATAAAAAAAATGCAAAAATGTAGAATGAAGTTTCGAAGTTTAACTTCAGAATCGTTATAATTTGGCTCTCAAAGGGCCTAGAGTCTTGAATAAAACGCATTTGTTGTTCGAGTGATATAAAATTGTGTGCAATACATAATGCATTTTTCAAGTTGAAGGGTTAAATTTTTTTTTTTTTTCGTTTTTTAAGAAGTGAAATCGTATTTCTCGTCTCAAAATCTATAACATAAGTGTAATAAAACATACACAATTTTTTTTTTTTTAAATTTTTTAAGTTCATGGAGTAATTGTGGCTCAACGGCAATATTTTTCCGTGAAAGGGAATTACATTAGCTTTCAAAACCATTTGTTTCATATCAAAATGTTGCTTCTGTCGAAAGCTCTACGATTAATTCGCATGAAGTGTTCAAAAAGCACACTGTGCGCCGTTTACCGCTGGAATTATGTAAAAAAAATTGCGATATACATTGAAATATATTGCTAGAAGAACAACTGTAAATAACTAAAAAGCAAAAAAGATATTAATGCCGTCTTAGATTACTTCAATAACTCAACTTTTTTATTTTTATTTAATTTTTTAGGCCCTCACCACTTTAATTCAACTATGAAATAAAAATGTTTAGGTTTGAAACTAAATCCAGAACGAATTAAATAGAATATAATCTGAATTAGAGAGGCGAATGCCTAACACTGACGAGATGGCATGATAAGATTAAATGATAGCTTCATGGTTTCCGATACTTTTTGGAATCTGTCTAATGGGCCGATTATACTGGCTTACAGCAAAAATGTTCTATGGATGCCACTATCAAATTCCCATGTAGAATTCCTCGGTGCTTCCGAAAATCGAGATCTTTTTTTCTATGGATAACTTTTCAAAATATTTACAATTTACCGTTATTCAGCTTTAAAAAATAGTGGTTTCACTTAATCACGTATATCTTACGAACCAATTGAATACTCGGAAATGAAAGCAAATAAAATTCTCCATAAACCGTAAATACATCACTTTTCGATAGCCCTGATAGTTTCTGAGAAATTAATTAATCATTTCTGACACCTCTTATTTTCGATGCAAACACTCTACCTGTATTGGATACATTCCCTTGGTTAATTATAATAGTCAGGGCTGTCATGGAATCCAATTGTTGTCGGAATTGGATTTGAAAACGACAAAAAAATTATTTTGGTGTCATGAAATCCAATGTTATCGGTTTTATGTTCGAATCGGAATTAGTGTCGATTTTAGGTGTCACAGAAATCAATAATATCGATTTTGCTATCGGAAACAAACCAAGCAGCTAACAGCTCTTGGATTTCATTTGTTTATTAGTTTTTCTTACTTCCAGTTAGACATTTTATAAAAATGTGAGTAAAAGAAGGTTTATTTTATAAAAATAATTATTAATGTATTCATATTTTTATTCATAACTAGGGGAAAGCATAAAAATGCAACTCAAAACAGCATTATCGTGGAATTTATGGAGAAATATCCAGATATTGCGAGAGGCTTTACAAAGCGGGATAAACCAACTGTTGATGCCCTTTGGCAACAGTTTAGTTGAGTCGCTGAACAGTGCAGGTCCACCACAAAAGGATACCAATGGATGGAAAAAGGTAAAGCATAATTGGTGCTATAAATTAAATCGTGCCTTAAACTTACACTGTTTTTTATATACATATGTATAGACGTGGACGGAGTAGAAAAGTGACATAAAAAGAAAGCTCGCACAAAACAAAAGCGAGTCTCGAGCAACTGGTGGAGGACCCTTTTCTAAGCACCAACTAACGCAAACGGAAGAGACAATAGTGCGCATATGTGGCATTGCACAGTCTGTGGTTGGTGTGGCTGGCAATGCAGTTGGCCTCAGCGAAGATTTAGTTTGTGCAAGTGAGGATGAAATGCCATCAACATCATCGAAGCGGCCAATGTCTCCAGTCAGCAGCACTCCTAAAAGACAAAGGACAGATAGTACTGGGAAGCGTTTGAAACAATTTCTCGATGAAGACAACGAGAGAAAGCTCGAAATAAATGAAAAATTGAACGAGCTAATTAAGATTGAAAAAGAAAACGACAGTAGCCTCAGACGAGTGTATAGAGCCATAAAAAAAAGCAACGAATCTGTCGCGAATGCAGTAACTGAGCTCAAGGATGAATTTGTCCGTATTAATACAGGTGTTTTGCGAGCGATACAGGAAAAAAACGAAATAAAAGAAAAGCAACTCGAGCTCGAACTCCTAAAGTTTGATTACGAAAAACAGAAAGAAAAGTAATTTCCCTTTTAAAAAATGTCAAAAAAGTGTTGGTTGTGGTCGTTATAGTACCTAAAAATGTGCCTTATTTTATTGTTATAAATAGTTATATAAGTTTTAGAAAAATGTATTTACTTATTAAATGAATTTTTGTTTTGTTTTAATGAATATATATGCGTGTTTTTTAAATAAATAAATATGTGTTTTTTATTTTTTAATAAATAAATATTTGAATTTTTATTCAGTTGGTTTGCTATAAACTGTTGGCTATTTCATCCCTCATCCTTTTACCTTCACTTTGCAGTGTTCCGTTCGGTGGAGATTCAACATTTTCATCAGTATCATTTGATGGTAAAGTAATACTGTCGTCGTTATATTCCACGTTGTAGTTTCTGCAGATATTGTGCAGCGCACAGCAAACATTTATAATTTTCACCACTTTTTCTGGCCGATAGTGCAAGGTGATCAATAAGCAGCGAAATCGGCTTTTCAGCACTCCTATTGTTCGCTCCACAATATTTCGAGCGATGAATGGGCCAAATTGAACTTATATTCTTTGGAGTTGTAGCGTGGATCTCTGTATGGTGTTAATAAAAAAGGTTCTATGCCATATCCACAATCTCCTAACAACTTTGATGTCCGGTCAACTGACTCATACTTCTTGAGGAAATATTGTCTGGCGCTACTAACGTTCCATACGAATGAGTCATGGCTAGAGCCGGGATAGCGTGCATCGACCGCTCGAATTTTCATGTGACCATCACAAATCTAAATAAAAATGTACATACATATACATATATAAATCAGTTTTACAAGGCAATGTACGAGTAAAATGAAGATTCATTATTACTTGCAATCATGGCATTCATACTGAAATATCAATTTCGATTATAAAATAAATGTTCGTCAATACTCGGCTTGATGATTTTTATGTGTGTCCCGTCGATGCAACCAATTATTGAGGGAATTTTGTACTTTAAGTAAAAATAGTCTCTTGATCTGCGTTTTTCGGTGCCGTCCATTTCTAGTTTCACCCACTGAGGGCAAATGAACCGCTCCATAACCTTAAGCACATCATCTAAAATCGTTGACACCGTGCTTCTAGCTACACTTATGCTAGAGTCGTTCCCGACTGATCTTTGATAGGATCCTTCAGCTAAAAATCGCAACGAAGGTGCTAACTGCAGCACTGGTGGAACTTTCGAACGTGTCAAGTGCCCTTCAGTGGTGTCAAGCACCATTCGGAAAGCCTCTTTGTTTAGGCGATAATATGCTATGAAACTGCAAATACGCTATAAATATTTATAAACGCACATTAAAAAACAATCTACTTACGCTGTCTCAGGCAGCTCAAGTGGATTGCTGCAATCTCTCAAAATTTTTCTTTTAACTTTCTCGGAACTTTCTTCTTCCAATAAGAGAAATGCGACAACTGCGGATGTCATTTTGCGCTCACTTATTTTTTTTTAATTAATGAAAACAATTCAATTTTAAAAATTGTGTCAAAAAAATATACATTCAAATTATCGCCATACACACAAATGTGCAAAACAGCTGATTCGAACATCGGTTTTGGTTATGTTCGAAAAGAGCAAAACCAATCCGGTTTCATGACACCAAATGAAACCAAAATTGGTTTGTAATTCCGACAAAATGCAAAACCGACTTGGATTCCATGACAGCCCTGAGTGACACCCTTTATTACTTATGCCCACATTACCATACCTACCTGTTATACTTATATACATACATACTTTTCTGTTGTATTGCATACCAAGCTCTCTTGTATTTACTACTCTTATAATCACTCTCGCTAGTCAACATTGTATATATTGTATTAAGTATTTTTCCAACAACCACTCAATAAACGGTCTTCAAAAGGGTCACACCATCTTATTATTACACTACCTATTCAGGTGTACGTCGCGTATGAGTAACACTCTTTTCTGCTAATATTTCATACAGAAAATCCTTGCGCATTTTCATTCGACCAATCATTATTTTGTTATTTACATATATATCTATTTTCCTCATTGGTAGCTTAGTATTTTTCTAAAGGAACAGGCTTTAACACAAGAGCAAATTATTTACATAGAAACTGTTATTTTTTTCCTTTTTTCCCTGTTAAAGTTTGAATTTTTAGCGTTTTTCCATAAAAAAAAAATCTATAGATCTATAGAATGATTAATTAATTTCTCAGAAACTATCAGGGCTATCGAAAAGTAATCTATATACGGTTTATGAAGAATATTGCCGTACCTCGTATTACGATTATTTAATTGGTTCGTAAGATATAACTGATTAATTGGAACCATTATTTTTTTTAAGCAGAATAACGGTAAATTGCAAATATCTCGAAGACGTATCCATTAGGCTGGGTCGATTTTGTATGGGGGAAAATAAAAGTCATTTGACCGCATTGTAATAGTAATATTATGATGTCTTAGGTCTAAGCCAATTGTTATTGGCCAAGAAAGATTAATTTAAAACTTATCTTTAGCCCGCGCAATTGAATCAAAGTGTATAAATGTTGAAAATGAAACCTTGGCTTGAAATATCTATGGAATGCGTTATTTTTATGAACAGAACGATATACCAAATTAAGGGCTATTAAATTTAGTACCTCACGTTCATTTATCATTTTTCAATAAGTCTATACGTTTTTACGATATTAAGATAAAACTTACAAAAACTATAATTTTCCCTTATGAATTTTCAATTCTTCATTACTTCAGCAAACAAGTGAAAAATACAAAAAAGTGAGACGAGATTTATTTCAAACGTTTTAATATTTTCGGATGTTTATATAACACTAAAATGACCAGTTTTCAAGTTCGTTGTGAATGAATGTATTGTCAAAGAATAGGAATCGTTTGACAAGTTAATAGTAGTTTCAAGCATATAAGTATTTGCATACATTAACATAATACAATTAGGGTGAGAAACGCCCATTTTAAGTCTATTTATGCAGTATTGAAAATTAGTGCGGAATGGTTTCATTAGTCACCAGAGAAGCACATTTTTCGCGGTTTCTAAATTTGCCGTTGTATGAAAGTAGGGACGTGCAATAAGTGTTTAGATATACATAAATATTTTAGTTAATTCCATTATGTGAAAAAGTGTCTGTAGGTAAATGCAATAGTCTTTAACATATCCTGGGAAATCCTTTTGAGGACTCTGCAATTGGACGATATTGCTTTGCATTCAGCTTTAACGAAAAAAGTCACTCGCTGGCACAGTTTTCTGTAATCCGGTTCTTTTATTTAAAGGTTATTCATACAATTGAAGAGAATTTTTTTTTAGAAAAAAACTGGAAATCCACTTAATTTTTTCGATTTAACTTTGGTAAATGTTACTCGATCGGTACGTAATAATTATCAAATTGAAGGCGAGACTTACTGTTACTGATTTATGATAATAATATCATGAAAATATAATAGATTATAAACCGATTATTTTAAAATAAAAAAATTGTGAACAAAATTTTTTTGTCATTTTGCTATATTTGCAACTTTTAAATTGTATGCATAAACATAAGTAAACTCATTAGCGTTTCTAGAAGTTGTGCCTGTTCAGTGTTTCCATACTCATTTGCATAAACAAAATTTTTCCACGATGATGGAAAATAATGGCTATTCTATTAGAGCTACCGAAATTGTTCCTAAATTTGCGAAAATTCGCAAACTATAGCCAATATTCAAATAAGATTAGAAGCAGAAACCGAGAGTTTTCACTTGCACTTGCACATGATAGATCAACCAAGCCTACAATAACATTAAAAAAAAAAAGATTAGAATATTTGGGACCAGCGATCTAAATGCACGTCAGCAATATTAATGCTGTTCTTTACATCTTTTGAATATAGGCCAGTGCAATTATCAAGAGAACAATTAAAATTTTCTTGAAAATAGATAAGTTTGAGATTAACGGTAAGCTAAAGTGCTGCGAGAAATGACATTCGACTTTATCTTTTGCGTTAACGGATTTATTATCTAATAATATGCACAACCCTTTTTACTGGACCCAGAATTTTTAACAAGAATTGGTCTTATTCGACTAGTGTGCTGTGGGTCACTTGGCGGTCGATGCGCGGGCTCTCACAGTTAAAATAAAATACTAATATTTTGCAGGCTTGTTGTTGACTTCATGATACAATATATTTTCACTATTACCAAGGGATTTGAGAAAAATTAGATTTTCGACCCGCCCTAGTATCCATACAAAAAAAAAATTATCTCTATTTTCGGAATCAGCGAGCGATTTTACATTCAAATTGGATAGTGGCGTCTGGAAAACAAAATCCAATTTAAAATTTGTGATCCAGTGTTATTTTTAAAGTCAGCGACGCCGCCGCCACAAAGCCTGTGGGCGTAAACCTCTTATATGAATATATGTATGTGTTTAAATCAGCGTTGGGCAGAGAGAGCTTTTGCTCTGCTCGCGCCTATGCAAAATGTATAGAAAGCTTAAAAGAGCTTTGCCCGCGGCAAGGCAGTGCCCATCGGTGGTTTAAATTCATATATAGGTACATATATATGTATGTATGTAGTTGTAAGTGCATACTCAAAGGTCTAAGATATGCATATAAATCACTAGAAAAAAATGCATTAAATCACAATTTTCGGCATTCACTCACACAATATATCAAAACTGATGGAAACTTTAACTTAAAGACAATATAACTCAAACTTATTTGTAAAATTCCATAAATTTCACGTTTCTCATTTTTAATGCCAAATTTTAAGCTAATAGAAAGTGATATCTTTTATCAATTTAAATAAATATACATTTTAAAATTCGTTCTGTTTTTCCACAAAAGACTGACGATTTCATATGTACTACCGATTCATACTAAATTTATGTGAAAGAATTTTCCAAATCATGGGTCTCTGCTTGTGAAAATTTGAACGTAATTTGTTTACATTTACTATTTTTTCTTTTTAAGTTTTCAGAGATGGAATCACTGAGAAATCTTGTTATTTGGCTATTTTTCTATTGTGCAGTGCAGTTTGCTTTTATCTTCGGCACTCATAGGCACGTTAATGTATGTGTATGTATATGTACATACATACCTATGCGTACATAAGTTTATCGCACACTTCTTCAAAAGAGGTATAACTTATACAAAATTTAGATAAATTTTTTGCATAAATCAATTCGTAGGATTAATTAATTATTTATTTATTAATGCAAATATTTTTTTCTTCATGATACTCATCTCTAACTAGAAAACTACTGTTTTACCATTTTGTGTCTTATTTGCATTGAATCTGTACGATTCATTAGAAAGTATTTATTCCGGGTACTACTTCTGAGTTGTGCCTCTTTTGAAGAGGGTGTGCGTTATGTATGCATATACATAGAGAGTACATATATACTAGGGCATTCAATCCCGGGATCCTGAATACCGGGATTCCGGGACCCCGGACACTTTTCCATGTCCCGAAATCCCGGGATTACAACTCCGAGATTTTTACTGATTCATTTACAGAATGAAAGATATGTTGAAAACGAAAAAAAGAATTTATATGACTTGAAACGGGAGAAATACAGAACACTAAAATTTGGATTCAAAGTGAACTTGAGTCATTTGCACTTGGAAGTGAATTTCAGGAACTGCCTGAATAACTGTACTTGTTCAAATATTTTGTGCAAGAACTGTGTAATAACGAAAAATCTGGTAGCAATTCAGAACACAACAAGCTTTTACAGTGGGGCAGAATTGTTCTTCATTTTACTTTGTTGGCCTTTTTTGGAAAAGGATTTCTGTAAATATGAGTAAATGTTTTTGACAAGTAATATATATATTTTAGAATGAAAAATACTTAAACATCAAATTACATACTCTTTTACTAAGGAACATTATGCTCCCCTAAGACCAAATGTTTTGACAATGAATCTGTGTGGTTTGAAAAAGGCGAACCTACTGTAAAATGCAAAAGGTTGTTGTGATGCCGAAATCCCGAAAAATCTCGGGATACCGGGATTAGAATTTTTACATCCCGAGATCCCGGGATTGTTAAAATGCTTCGGGATTGAATGCCCTAATATATACATATGTGTACATATGCACACGTTCCTTATAAATGTATGCTTGAATGCATGTACATAGGTATTGTACATCCATACACATATGTGGACTAATCTACATACTAGGAATGTTAATCCCGGGATCCCTGGATCCCGGACTTTTTAAGGTCTCGAAAATTTTCGATTTTCGGGATTTGTAATTTGCACTGATGGCAATAATAGAAACTCCT